TTGTTTATCGACGATGCTTCCCAGGTATGTGAAGGATTCCACGTCTTCCAGAGTTTCGCCATCAAGAGTGATTGGATTGCTGTTCTCCGTGTTGTGTTTGAGGACCTTGGTTTTCCCTTTGTGTATGTTGAGGCCTACTGATGCAGAGACTGCTGCTATGCTGGCTGTCTTTATCTGCATTTGCTCGTGTGTATTGCATGGGAGGGCTAGGTCATCTGCGAAGTCCAAGTGGTCTAATTGGTTCTGAGCTGTCCATCGTATGCCGTAGTTTCCCTCAGATGTCAAGGTTTTCATAATCCAGTCGACCACCAGAAGAAACAGGAAGGGAGAGAGTAGACAGCCTTGTCTTACTCCGGTCCTTACTTGGAATGCGTCAGTCAGCTGTCCTCGATGCACTACTTTGCACTGTAGTCCATCGTATGAGTTCCGGATAATGTTGACAATCTTCACAGGAACTCCTTAGTGTCGAAGAAGTTTCCATAACGTTCTCCTGTCTACACTGTCAAATGCCTTCTCATAATCAATGAAGTTGATGTAGAGTGACGAGTTCCACTCAATTGATTGTTCGACGATGATCCGTAGTGTCGCAATCTGGTCTGTGCACGACCGGTCCTTACGGAATCCAGCTTGTTGATCTCGAAGTTGAGCGTCTACTGTGTCTTTCATCCTGTTCAGTAACACTCTGTTAAAGACTTTACCTGGTATTGACAGTAGTGTAATGCCTCTGTAATTTTCACACTTGCTCAGATCTCCTTTCTTTGGAATCTTGATGAGGTGTCCTTCTTTCCAGTCCATCGGCACTTGTTCCTCCTCCCAAATCTTCTTGAATAGAAGATGAAGCATGCTTGTAGTTACTTCGATGTCTGACTTCAACGCTTCAGCTGGTATATTGTCAGGTCCTGCTGCTTTCCCGCTCTTGATTTGTCTGACGGCCATTCTGATTTCTTCTGTCGTTGGTGGATTGACATTTATAGGAAGATCTGTGTGTGCTGCTTCGATGTCCGGTGGATTCATTGGAGCCGGTCTGTTCAGGAGTTCCTCGAAGTACTCTGCCCATCTGTTCCGCTGTTGTTGAATCTCAGTGATTGGTCTTCCTTCTTTGTCTTTGACTGGTCTCTTGCAGCTTTTTCGCCGTCGTTGCTAGTTCTTCCACGTATTTTTGCTTATCAGCTCTAATGCTCTTCTTCACTTGCTTGTTTGCTTCTATGTATTCTGCTTGTGCTTGGACTTTCTCTGCTCTTGTTCGACTGTTGTTAATTGCTGTCTTCTTGTTCTTTCTTTCTTTGATCCTGTCCAGTGTTTCTGTAGAGATCCATTCCTTGTGATGATGCTTCATGGGGCCCAGAACCTCTTGACACGTTGAAGTTAATGTTTCTTTGATACCTTTCCAGCTATCCTCCATAGTAGTTTCTTCTTCCTTCAGTAGATCCTGTAAGGCTTGGAACCTGTTGTTGAGAGCTACCTTGAATTCATTGAGTTTGTCAGTATCTCGAAGGAAGGCTGTATTGAACCTTTGTGGTGCTGTTTGTCCAGTTGTCCAGTTCTTCTTTAGCTTCAGTTTCAATTTGGCCACAACCAGGTGATGATCTGAAGCTATGTCCGCTCCTCTCCTGGTTTTCACATCTTCCATTGTCCTTCGGAACATTTTATTGATGCAAATGTGATCTATCTAGTTCTCTGTGGTGTGGTCTGGTGAGATCCATGTAGCTTTGTGTATACGTTTGTGTGGAAATATTGTACCGCCTATGACCAATTTATTGAATACACACAGATTTGCAAATCTTTCCCCGTTTTCGTTTCTCTCTCTCCCAGTCCATGTAGTCCCATGATGTCTTCATATCCGGTGTTGTCCATTCCGACTTTGGCTTTTAGATCTCCCATCAGAATGGTGAGGTCCTTTCTTGTGCACTTCTCTATGATTGATTGCAGTCTCTCATAGAATTGATCTTTAACGTCGTCGTTGCTATCATTTGTGGGTGCATAACATTGGATAATGTTTATTGTGATCCCCTCCTTCTTTGTTTTGAATGATGCTTTGATGATTCTGGATCCGTGAGATTCTCATGCTAGCAGTGCATTTCGTGCTACTTTGGATAGCATTAGAGCAACTCCCTGAGTGTGTGGAGCATTTTCCTGTTTGTGACCGGAGTATAGCAGCATCTCTCCCGTATTTAGACTTTGTTGTCCAGCTTGGGTCCAATGGGTTTCACTGATTCCCAGCACTACCAAGTTGTATCTCCTCATTTCCGTTGCTATTTGACTGGTCTTCCCGGTCTCCCACATTGTCCGGACGTTCCATGTACCTATAAAAATTGTTGCTCTGGTTGTTAGAAGGGGCATCGGCCTCGTGGCTTCCGAAGGAACTCGGCTTTCACCATGAAGCGTCATATTACCTCTAACTCCCAGGGCAGAGTTTAAATGGTTTGAGTTATTTTTTCTGGTTAGCGTTTTTTAGCGAGTTAGTTTTCTACGGGATGGGGACGCTAACCCCATGCCCAACCCTCCTCCTTTACCCGGGCTTGGGACCGGCAGTAACTCTGGAAGAGCTACAGGCGGAGTTTATTCCATGGTGGTCTAGTCTAAATTGACTCATGAATTTAACTAATAAATTAATATAATCTCCACAAACTCTCATTCTGAAAATATATTACTGTATAAATGCAAACCATGCTGAATACTCAAAACGTTCTTTAAACACTTGTCGGGATGAAAAGAAATGTGTAGAGAATGAATAATTAGTAGACGGACTTGTTGAAATCTCCTTGACCATTAGTTGTATACACATTAAACAGAGATGATAAAAAAAGAAGTTAAGTAATTCATTTTTTAGTAAATCATATCCCAGATACTCAGAAATTGCAGTGTTTAGTAAACAATTGTAAATAATTCAAAGTAAAACATTAAATCAATAAGAAAATGTGCAAGGCAAAAAGTTAAATTTATATTAGAATAAACATAATAAAGTAATTGAATACAGTTCATGGAGAACGACACATATGAATAGCAGTTATTCTGTTCATTCTATCCAATTCCTAAGCAATCAGTATAAATATCTATACTTTCAAATTTATTGTACGTTTACGGATTTGTAGTGTAATGAATAAGAAAGCAGGCGAGAACAATCAAATATATTTTAACGCAACATTAAAGAATATCTTGGTAAAATCTGAGAACAATACAATAAATAATTCATTTGAAAAATGTCATTCAGTTGTCTGAGAATAAATTGTACTTTCATCTCTGTTCTCGTTCTCTTCTCATCAACCTTCTTAACCATCTACCATCAGACATTTCACTTTCAATTGGTGATACATACTACTTATATCTGTCGACATCAGTAACACACTACAGTACTATTCTATTTAGATTATTTAACAATCAAATATCCGTTTATTGTTTGATTATAATTTTTCTAGAATTCTACATACAATGATAGTGATAAATTTCTTATACAACATGAGAAGTACCTTAAATCAATATTTCGAAGAGTTTCATTTTTTTGAAAAGCGTAAGTAACATTGTCATTTACAGCAATATCATTGATTTTTGATTTTGTCCGAGTTGACTAGAATATCTTTAATGAAAGTTTTAAAATAAATCTACGACAAATATAAACATTAAAATATATTTATTTAAACTGTAGATTAAAAAATAATAGAGAGAACGGATCAATATACAAAACAAATATTTCTTATTCACGCTAAAGGCACGGTGAATCGATCCTCATCAGGTTGACCAACGTACATAAAGTTAACTAATACTGAGATAAGAATCATTGTGTAGGATTACCGCCAAAAAATTCACTTAGTTCTTTTTTTGATTAAGGGTAGCATAATAATTACGTTACTCTCCACATTGTTTCATCTATTTACATAACAAAATACTGATGGGTATCAGCAAAATTACTAGAACAAACGCCAACAAGTTGCATTGATGAGGTGAAAGAAAATTTCCGATGGACAATAGAACGAAATCACGAATATTCTAGTATAAGTGAAAGTAAAAAAATGGAGGCAAGTTTAAAATTCAGCAAAATATTATTCATACATTATTCATTTTTGTGGTCACAATAAAACATTACATTAGGCAGTACAATCTTAGAATCTTACACACAGTCGAAATCAGCTTGTAACGAAAATCTGATTTGATTCATAAATATTATGAGACTAAGTTACTTTTGTTTTTATTACTGATTGCAAATTCAACTAACTCATTGATCCATCTCACTACATACTGCTATATTTGAAGAGACAATGAGATCACCTAAAATCGGCGAAAGGAATGAAGGATTAGCGACACAACGACAAGACAAGCTAAACTATTCCGATGAGTTCCATCCCTGCTAACTAGAGGGAGAAAACCCGGTTCAGATGAAGGGAAGGTACATTCTACAAGCAATCAGAAGCACAAACAATAACAAGCACGCAATTCAAGAGTATATATATAGCATAAAAATGTCCTTGGGAAACGTCACAGAATAGCACATTAAGAGTGGGAACGAACCACTAACATTTAGGATCCTCTCAAGTGGAAAATACAATCTGAAGGTAAAAATGAGCGCTTTTAGAGGGAAAACGATATATATATATATATATATATATATATATATATATATATATATATATATATATATATATATATATATATATATATATATATATATATATATATATATATATATATATATATAACACCTTTCAGTGCAATACGAAATTACGCATAATTCCGATGGATTACAAGTTAGTGTGAAATAGTTTATCATGTTACATTAATGGAAGTCGTCTGTTTCAGCTTACAAACAGTAAGACTTCTTTCCTATGGACGGTCGTTTTTAAGGGTAGAGTTCGCATTAACCTGAATCGAAGTTGATTCCTCCTTATGATTTACAGTTTGTGAAAATGCTTACGATTATCATATTAACATCTGAACAATTATCCATAATTTCCATCTTTTATGTAGTTATTTTGTTTACAATCAGTGTATCTGTTTACAATGTATAGGTACTTGAAATATTTGATCAATTAAAGATCACTTTGATCCAATTATTATCATCCAATTCATGGTTCAATGAAAACAATAAAGGCACTATTGATCAGGTTGGTTCAATTTTAATCGATTGCATAATTAACAATCTATTGTATTGTTCAGGTTAAAAATATTAGTTTATCAATAATTTCATCGGAATCATTGAATGTGGAGGAAAGAGAGAACAAAGATTTTATATTCAATGTGAGTTCTAAAACCAATGTATTCCCATTGATTATTATTATTATTATCTAATTGAAGGTGAACTAGACTCTGTGTCTAAATGATTTACTTAAAGTGTTTAAAGAGACTTTCTGTGTACATCCGATTATCTCATGATTTTATTTATGTTACTAAGATGTTAGGGAAGATTTGTAGCTCAGGGGAATAATTTTTCTGGAGTTTTGTTTTCTGAGCTGAATGGTTGGTTGTGGAGCTTTCATTGTTCCTCTGAACAATATCATCAGCACAAACTTCAAGTAGAGGTGAAGTGTTCCAATTTCTCCACATATGACTTACAGCTTATTTTGTCGACCTCGATCTTGATTGCCCATTGTTGACCATTAACATGCCATTGTCTACTCCTTTATTTTGATTGTATCTCCCATTGAGTTGATTCTCTGTCCTGTACTTGTTCATGATTTTTCTGATAGGTTGATAGATTGGATCGATTTTAGTGTGTTTGTTGATTGGCGATTAACCTGAGTCTCAAGCTTCTAAAAATTCTCCGGTGCTTTTATAATTGCCTCTATCCAAGATCTCAATATTTTTCTAGTCGGATGTGTGTCTACAGTCGTTCACAACATCGAGATTAACAAGAATAATTTAGTGTTTGGCTGCTAATTGGTGTCGTGCAGGCGAAGATGAAGAAGGCATCTACTTTGTCCGAAGTTGAGATTTTCTCAGTTAGAACAATTTATTTTGTAGATGATTTTTGGTTTTTCTTCTTTTGTAATTTGTCCTTCAGTTTGCATAGGATTGATTGATGTGATTTTACTGGTTTGTATGCTACACGTATTCCGAACGGCTTCAATAATGTCTTTGTGATTTCTTTTATATGTTGTAGAAGGAACCGTTTCTTGGTTTCTGTACTTGCTTTTGTTTCTATTGATGAGTTGGGCAAATATTCTTTGATGAGGTTGATTAGGTTGTCATTCTTTGGAAGATGGTCTTTCGATATTTTTCTTTATTTTTTCGCGCTGTAAGTGTGTTGCAGTGTGTTTTCTCCCTCTTGAATACACTTTGTACGCAGTTTATTTATGTGTTCCAGGATTATTGCTGCTCTGGTTGAGGATTCGATCTGTATAGATCAGCTTCCGAGAGACATAAGTCACCAGTTTTCCTGTGTCCTTTCTAGTGATTATTACGTAGATCATCAACGTAGATGATCAATGTCGAATGATGAGAGGCCTAGTCGAGATAAACGGGGATGGTCTGACGAACCAGCTAACTTCAAAGTTACACCTCGCGGTCAGCATCTAACGCGGAATATCCCTTAGACGTACCAAAGTACTATGGCTACTTTGAACACCATATAACACAAAGGACGTTATTATGGAAATATATTAGTAAGAATGAGTATAGAGAAGATAGAGAGACAACTACCGCATGCATCAGTTTATGGCATACGACTAATTGATGCGCCTGGTTGTCCATGACCTTGGTGAGGATCGATGACCTGCTCGATATTCAGTGACCCAACTGCCGGATGATTTGGCTATGGTTCAGTAACATTTCGCTGGCCCTACAAGTACATCCAAGTATGAAAGTTTTGGTTTCACTCCTGTTCCATTGTGAACTTTATGTAATCGAAGACGTTGTTGATCAGATTGTAGGTGTTTTCCAGCTCGTCCTTTTTGACGATAACGAATGTGTCGTCCACATAACAAATCTAAATTTTCGGTTTGATCACTGGTAAGATTGAGGCTTCCAGTTCCTGCATCACTGCTTTTTTGATAAGTCCTGACATGAGTGATCCCATTGGTATTCCTTTAATTTGTCCTTAGGTTTTATTGTTGAATTGAAGGTATGTTGTTAAAGATAAATCGATGAGTTCTAGTAAACCTTGGCTGAAGCTTTTGAGATTTGTTTAATTGTTGAGAAGCAAGGATAGAATTCCCTTTTCTAAGGTTTTTTCAATTGAATTGAATAAGGCTGTTACATCGAGGGATATCATCAATTCGTTGCTATTGATATGAATCTCTTTAACTTTATCGAAGAATTGTATGGAAGATTTGCTAGAGTTCAATAACCGTCACCACTCAATCATGTCCATAATAGAATTTCACTCCCTTGATGCCGTACTAAAATGAAGATCAGATGGGTCTCTACAAGAATTGTTATACAGAAAGCCAACCTAGAACTAGCAGTATGTGAACTTCCAGAATTGGGTGCCGCTGAGTACAAAGAGAAATTTAATCCATTCTCTATTCTCAAGAGCCAGAAGAATATTCACTGAAAAAACACTTGATTATGAACTGAATATAATCCGACGAATAATTTTGGATAATGAATTGCCACCCAAGTTCATTGATAAAAATAAAAAAATCAAAACATCAAGTTGGAAGTAATCCCACAGTTCCGAAGAAAGTTTTATTCCTGAGCATTGAATTCAAAGGAGATACGGAAGTTGATATGGGGCCCTTTATTTTGTTATCATTTAGATCGGACGATGTTCGTCGAAAGGCTCTCCACTTTAGTGGCCCGAGATCTGTCTCCAAGTAGATTGCATGAATGTTTGTTATCGCCTATCGTCGTATATAATAAATGACTTAATCCGCTTTAATCAATAACGGAATCAAACAAGTCAAATAACGAGAATGGACTTTTGAATACATATATTTAGTATATGGAGCGAATGGAATAGAGAGGAGCAAAACAACGCGCAGTAGAGATGACTGGTAAGCCAAGATTGACAAGCGAATAATTAGCAAGGTCAGAATGTGACTCAAGTAGAATGAAGAGACTAAGCTTTGCGAAAGTTAGAATAAGGTGTATGGGCTTAACATAATAACAGACACTACACTGAAATATTTAATAGAAGATTATATAGATCCCTGAGAAACAATCGTTATTCAAAAGAGCTATGAACTGTTTCTGCAACAAGAAACTCATTAAGGGAATTTTCATGTACAAACTACCGCTTTGAGCCACCTCAATGTGTTTCTTCCAGTTTACTTGCTCTTTTCAATCACGTTACACTGACCGTACAAATTGAGCTCTTGCTAAACGAATATTCGAGCGCTATTCTGTATGGCAATCTAAAAGGATATACAAATCAATCAACAGCTCAGTTCTCGAACACACGATCAACCAGGAGCACACTTCACCATGTGAATCTTCACTGAAAATCCTCTACAAAGTATGAAGAACTGACTCAAAAAGGGTTTGGATGAGTAATTACTGCACAGCCGAGGTTACAGAAATTCACCATTTCAAATCTGAACTCTGTGTACAGGAAAGCAACGTTCAATTCCTAATTCTTCCATGGACTTAGCAACCCTTTAAATTTTAAAAATTACAATTGCTAATTATAACCTGCTTCTTCTCCTTTATGAAGTAGACAGTTATCTTTATCTTTAATCCTGTAGATTACTACCTCTTATTACTTTAAAAACTATTACATAACGTAAGCTCTTGATGATTTTTGACTACTTTACTAAATGACCCAACACTTTTTCATTCGATACACTCTTCCATTTATAAATTATTATACTCAATACTTGACAACATTAAACAACACCACCTCATTTTCACTAACTTCCACTTGAATAAATCGGGCTATCTTTAATGATGTTATAAAACCCATCCATTTTATTATGCTAACACATTATTTTGTATTATTAATTAAGCTGGTTTGTTTGCAGTAACTCAGCTAAAGGTAAATTTTAATGGTTGAATTCGTGAGTCGATCTAAGTTAAACTACTATTGAAAACGTGGAAGCACTGCACGGTCGTTTCGTCCTAGTATCGGACTCCTCAATAGTGCGCATCCAGTGCAGTGCCACAGTGTGTTATAATAAACAAAACCCGTTTACACTTTAAGCGAGAATATCTCCTTCATATGCATTGTTTCTTATGAACTGTAGTTCAGACATCAGTATGTCGTATTAACGACTACTAAAAAGACATTTCGGTAGACGATTATTTGTCATCTGTCTGTTAACTGACTTCGGCATCCGTAGGAATGGAGACCGTAGATTCAAACAATCCTATAAAAAACTTTCTCATGTTTCCATTTGATTATTCAACTTGCAAACATGTAAATGTTTTTAAAATCACTGTTTCTCTTCTAGAATAAAATTCTAGAAAATAATTACTTTATGAATGCATACTACGCTCAGAAGACCAAACTCCTTAAATCATTTGGCGCAACTTTACATAAATATGATGAGTACGTTGTACTTTTCAAGTATTCATCTTTTATATTCTGAGTACATAAATAGAATCAATTATATCTTTATCGAATTAATTTTATTCAATATCTCGCGATTTGAAACCAATTGCATTCTAAACAAAAATTAAATAGTTGAACTCATGAGTCAGTTAAGGCTAGACTACCATGGAAAACCTGGAAGCACTGGATTGCCGTTTCGTCCTATTGTGGGACTCCTCAACAGTGCTCATCCACGATCCTGCAACAGAGGGACTGGAACACAGAACCTATCGGTCTCTCACACAAACGCTTAACCTCCAGACCACTGAGCTGGTCGGCATTCGGCGGTGTTAGTGTCTAACCTCAACCAATCCACAAAATTGAGCCATCGTCCACCATTGCCTTCAATGAGTTACTATCTCACAACAAACCAATAGGTCCTCGTTGTATGTAAACTGTAATTAGATTTATTGATGTACACTTAAAGCGTTGAACAGACACATAAGCTAAGAAGAAACACCTGTCTACATTCGTTGGACTTAAATTATTGCTGGAATTCTATACGAAGTTGACCTAATTTAGATTAATATCACACTCTATCCATTCAACCCTACAGTAAAATTGTATTCATAAACCAGTGTAGTTTAACAACGGGAATTTTCACCTAGATTGTTAGAAATAAAAAGAAAAAATCTGACATTAGTATTTACTGATGACAATGACTAGGCTCTCCATAGTTTGAATATCCTACTTTGATTGCCCTTATTTTTGTTTCGTTAAAACTAATTACAATTTTAGTGAACTCATTTTCACTACAAATTGTAGTGTTCATTGTGTGAATCATTATCTTGTTTTATATTTGTAAATGATCACTGGTAATGGTCATTGATAATGTGAATTTACTTATTCTTATAATGGATTGAAATAAAAGTGTAGGAAGTACTTCAAATGAATTTCAGTAGTATAGTGTACTTCACAGAATCTAATAAGTCAATGACGTTTGTAGAATATAACGAGTTTACCACGTCTCTATCTCAGTTTTACCTCAAATATTTATTGACTTTAAATTTTCATTAAACAAATATATATATCTCGATAGTTGAGATCATGGGTCAATTGAAGCTAGACCACTATGGTAAACCTGGAAGCACTGGACGGCTGTGTTGTCTAGCTTCAATCGACCCATGATCTCAAACGGTGCAATTAATATGATATCCACAAAACGCCTTCAAAAAAATATATACATATATATTGTTAGAAATTAAGACGTAAATTGTTTATCAAACAGCATAAATTTAATAGAAGAATTAAACGAGTTTTAGAAGCCTTCTGATGAAATGTTTTGTAGCAACGTACTCAGTGTAATGACCTCTAATTATCACAGTAGGTCAGTATTATAATATTTATCAACTGATCCGAACGACTTCATTCTACACATTTGATATTTTTGTTCAGCATATGATACTCATTTAGATTATGCATACGTTTCTTAAATCTGAGGTCTAAATCAATTGAAATATATTCATCAGCGTACGCTTGATGTCTTTCCATTGTATCTTTTTTCAAGAGTGCAGCCGACCTCAAATATTTGTACAGAAAGCAGAAGACACACAGAGCTTTTCGTTTAATCCCTAAACTTGCTTAACATCTAACTAAAATACATCACAGTATCAACAACTTTTAATTAATGGGTTGATCATCTGATCAACTAAATTTGATCAGCAATATGGGTGGATACCAATGATACTGATTGTTATCCAAAGATCAGTTAGTGGTGATCATGTGCTCTTATTTTGTCTCTTTCAATCAATTTTGAAGCATCATGTCATTCTGAAAACTGTCCACCACTTCCATTTCTAGCTTATGCAGTTCAAATCACATCTATATAGGACTCTTAAGTAAACCTCTCCAACGGAATGCGATATAAAACAAATATAGTGATATGTGAAAGATCATCAATGAATAGTAAACCGAATTAATTTAACGACACACTTTTCATTCATTCACTATCTAAGATTAAACCAGTTATACATTTTACGGAATAGATTAATGTCACATTTCATATTTACAAATATATAGACCAGAGGTCTCCAGTTTCACGCCATACATATCAGGATTGGACAAAGATTATAACATTCAAATATCTACTGGGTTTCTACATCCACCGTATTTCAATGGATCATATTCAATGTCTGAAAAATATGGGATTATCGGTTGGATTATAGGACGTGAGCTTATGTCTGCAGGTGACATTGACATCATGTTCCTTTTATCTATATTATAATGCTGTTGTAATTCAGTGTTCAGAATTAATATTATCAGTTGTATCTTCCATACTACATAATCTATCGTAACTCATATAGTTAAACTGCCATCATAGTTGATTACAAAGAGGATATAAAAATGTCCACTTCGTTCAATTTACACACTGATAATAAAAACAATCTTGAATAAATGTTACAAATGGAGTATGAGTACAATGCATTTGGTTTGATATAATATGATACTTCCATTTATATAGATCTACAGAACATTTACTGATTATTTGTGTTGTTCGATAAACCGTAAGACAGGAAAAAGCTTATTAGCAGTAAGTATGTATATACATACGAATGTTCAAATATATATCTAATTGTGCAGCATTGAAAAATGTACTCGTTGGAAGGAAATCATCTTGACAAATTCTGTCATGATTGCTGGCAGCACCTCAAATGTTACTCACACTTGCCGCATATGCATACAAATCAACCATAACTATCATGTTATGCATGATTCAAGCTATAAAACGCATTCAAACGAAAACTATTATTCCTGATATACTGTTTGGTAGTTGTTGAAATTGTAATCTATACACTTAGTCGCAATTCTAATGTTCAAATGACATTTGTTTTACAGTTTCTGGTGAAGATCAGATAAATGAACCAGAACAATCCCAGTTCATATGTGAAGCAACAGATCTAGAATCATTTGAATCACAACTCTGTTGTTTACAAAAACAAAACAGTTTCCGAATGTTTGGAAAAAAGGTAAGTTGTCCTTTAAAATTTTCATTTTATCTGAGAATAACCATATCCTTGCATAGCTTTCAGTATTCAAGTTAACTGTCGAAGTATGAATATTGATAATTGATGTGTCCACAAAAGATAACTATGTAGTCGATGTGTCTTGTGTAAATAAGAATCAATGACATATTGTCTTTGTGATCTGTACATAATTTCTGGATGATTTGTTAATCAATCACTTATTCAGAGAGATTATAAACAATGGATTTGAAAATTTGTATCAATAGCATACTGAAACTCACCTAACCAACCGAAGCGTGAGATATCATTCACGAAATAGGTGTGTTTAGTTGAAAATCGAAGCGGGCAGAACACTTTTCAGTTTACCTCATCTAATTTATAAACTGACGTTCTTACGAATTCTGAAATATTACTGTCAGTAGCCTCAGCGATTCCAACAATGAGGCGAATTGTACAGTGACGTGTACCTCAAGCTCCTGGTAGTCGCAACGGATTTGGACATACTGCTAAAACACTTGAAGAATACTTGGTAAACCACTTAACCATAGTATAGATCCATCCATCTATATTCTTTCCATTAACTTCAGTGGTTCAAACTCTTGTACGAGTTAACCCGCATGCATTATACAGTGGACATCCGTGAAATCAAGATGTTCCATCTACTTTCGTTAAAGAGCATGAATCGGAGAGTTATAAAAGTCTGAATTTTAATCATATATTGTAGATCAGTGCTTAAGTGAACTAGCATTTTTCGTTGTACTGATAAACTATTAACCAATTCTTTTGTGGTTGAATATCACAATAGATATTAGTATTGTTTCAAAAAACATAAGGACAGTCGTTTATAAACTGCGTTCTAATATTATTATCCAACATGTCGTTACTGTATATGAAGCTCACTTATTTTTTTCAATCAAACATATCAGTTAACAGTTCTTTATTCTTTTCCTTTCTTATAGATGTTACCATATAAGGGTTTTATAATGTCTACAGTTATTAACTTTTAACCAGCTTCTTAGCTCATTTGACTACTTTTGCCTAATATTCAGTATTCAAACTGTTTCACATGCAGTATTTAGTTAACGAAAAGTTTTCGGAAAGAATATTTAAAAACAAGGAACACTTGAGTAAACAAAAGTTTTCAATAACCCATATAGACTCAACAATTATGAACATTATCTATCGCATTACACTAGACAGCATAATGGTGTATACGTCTAATATTCATGAGTTATTGCTGAAAACTAATAATAACTATCTTCACGTCAATTAGAATGGATTGAAAAATTACACCTTAAGGTGATGAGTTCTAATGAATAGATCAAAATCATAGTTGAGAAGTAATTTAAAATAAAATAAGCCGTAGTTATTGTGATACTAATTATTACTAGCAATACGTAAGAATAGTGATAACAGTGATTAGTGTTATTTCTGGTTGTTGCTAATTGTTATATTGCAATCGTTTATTACTTACACTTGCAAAACGAGAAATCATTGCAATTCCCGCAACTCAAAGAACACCAAGACTGGTACTGACTTACAAGCTGCCTTAATCAGTTTAATACTTTCCGTAAATATATACGCAATATATATATTGCATATTAGAAAAAACGCTGATGAAGATCCCTTTGAAAACATAATTATCCTCTGATATTTCTTGTTCTATTTACACAATGTAATATTTAATATTTTGACATGATATACATCATCATAATATTTTCCAGATAACTAAGTTATTTCAAAGTGGATTATTCAACGCACTGTTCACTATGGAAAATTTGGTTAACCCGATATATTTACATAGTTGCTATTTTGATTTAGATTTTTATTAAAAGAATAACTGGATTATAATGAGAGAGGGGGTTTTATAAATACTATAGTAATTTAATAGTTAAATTCATGAGTCAATTGAAGCTAAATCAACATGGAAAACCTTAAAGAACTGGACAGCCGTTTCGTCCTAGTATGGGACTCCTGATTAGTGCGCAAATGAACTTGATATGACATAGAACTATAAATTTAATAATTGAACTATTTTATATACATTCACCGTTATTATACTAAATGTATATTGTAGAATTTCAGATCATTGTCAAATGATATTAATGGGCTTATGTTATCCTTTACAGTAAGTAAAAGCAGATAAGTTCATATTTATTAAATTCTATAATTGTTAAAATTCATACTTTACAAATCTCATCAATATTCACAAGTATTAAATACACTGAATTCGGTTGAAAAATTATGGATCACATTTTAAATTGATCAATAAAATAGCTCAGTTAGCAACTGACTAATTTAATATTTCCTCTCATATATTAAATAACTCATTTGTAACATCATATGGATCAATGGATGATAAAAAAAATAATAACATTTACACTTCGAAAGAGCTATATACATCCATCTTAAAAATAAAGAGAAGTTAGCGAAGAAAATTTTCTTCTCGACGAAATCATTTACTTAAGCTGTACATTCGTATTTCTAGTTATATGGAAAATATATGTCTATAGGAGGATGGAAAAGATTACATCATAAAATGATTCGAGAATACAATTATCAAATATGGTTACAAAATAATCAAGCGGTATAATCAAGGAATATAAGGATGAAAATAATTTACTGAACACATAATTGTCCAATTGACAGATATGAATTTCGTGGATTGCCAATGCCTCAGAGTGCATAAAATATTGATTCAACTTCCTTTTAATCCAATTCCTTTGATTGTGTAAATTACTTCAAAAGAAGACTCCTTTGGAACGACATGTCCACAGTTGATTAAATGCTCCTGTATAGAACTAGTAATTGTTTTTTATTCTCCATCTTATTTAATAGAATAGATTTACAAGACAAGTAAATATGATACTTTAATATGACTAACTGTAAAAAAACAAAACTCAAAGAAAATACTCATTATCTTAAAAGAAATGGCATATTTTTTTATTATTACATTACATATGAAATGACTTGTCAACTGATAGTATGGAATTATTTAAGCTTAATAATATCAAGTTTAATTATTATAAGGATCACTTTTTATAAAATATTCATCTTATTTGTTTTGCTGTTGTCGATAAAAGTTTATTTACAAGTAATTAATAGAGTAGAATATTTGTAGTAGCTTTTCTTCGTTAATCGATCACCCTCGTAACCGTTGTTATATAAATCTCAACAGTGTTTGAAATCAGAAGGCAATGAGAAACGGCAATTACAATTTATTGACGGATAGCCCAGATCACAAAGCTATAAGCACATCAAGCGAATTTGAATCGGATAGGCGAATATGTGTATACGAGCAATTCCATAGGCAAATTTCTAGTCAAATTTCACAAGGGCACAGCAAGACAAAGCAAAAGCTAATAATAAGATTTGAGTACATATATAAGTGGGGAGGAGAATAAACCATCGAGTGATATTTAATTAATCAACATTTAACTAGATTCTGTCATGTGATCTAGTGATTATAACGGTACAAAGAAATATGCCGATTGTTACTGTTCAGATAACATTGTCTGTTTTGTTAATAAAATGACTTGGTTATAGGATAGTTGTGATATATGTACTCAGAATGTACTTTGATATATAATATACATTTCAGACATATAGAAGGATTTGCATGCAAAATCGTAAAAATCTAGATGGAGAATTGTTTTTCACAACATTTGCAAAGGTAAGCTCACTTAACGTCTAATAATTTCCATTTTGACAAAAACATATTTCATTAAGACTAGTTTATACTATCATAATATATTGATACGATAGCTGAGCTGGAGTATGGAGAACAATTCAAAATAATCTTGTAAAATAAATATTTTACATCAAAGAAATCAATCTTAGTGATCACGTTGGAAAATGGGAACATTTGAATTATTCGTAGTTATATTGTAGTGAACGAGAACACAAGTTGAGACAACCGAATGTGTGTGAATACAAAATTACAGAACATCTTAGTAAAGTCTGAGAATCATACAGTAAATAGTTAATTTGCAAAATGTCAATCGTCTCAAACTTGACTATTCCTTTTGCAAAATATCAATCAATCGTCTCAGACTTCACTGTTCCTTTATTTCCACAACAATCATTTACTGTTCTCATTCTCTTTCCTTCAATCTTCTTAACCTTCTGCTGCCAAGTATTTCACTTTTTATTGATGATGCATATTACATATATTTATCGACATCAGTAGCACACTTACTTACTTACTTACGCCTGTTACTCCCAATGGAGCATAGGCCGCCGACCAGCATTCTCCAACCCACTCTGTCCTGGGCCTTCTTTTCTAGTTCCATCCAATTCTTGTTCATTTTTCTCATATCTATCTCCATTTCCCGGCGTAATGTATTCTTTGGTCTTCCTCTCCTCCTTCGACCTTGAGGATTCCATATGAGGGCTTGTCTTGTGACGCAGTTGGGTGTTTTCCTCAATGTGTGTCCTATCCACTTCCAGCGTTTTTTTTTAACTAACTCGCTAAAAACGCTATCAGTAGCACACACCATAATATAAGTTGTATGTTATGATGAAGGATAAAGTATCATTGTATAGTTAAAAAATGAATCTTTAATTAAATATTACCATTCAATCTCTGAGATTAAAATCATTAAATCATAACGAAAGGTCAACTTTCTTTCATCAAAATAGAAAAATATATTAGTTGAATACTGGTATCGTTAGATCCTACTACTCCTCAAACGTTTTCGATTGGCTAATAGAGTTAATATTTTAAGAATAAAGTTCTGAAGCTGAAATTTATTAGTAAACTATACCAAGTTGACAAATAGGAATGAATAAAGTAGAAATAGAAAAGAGTTAGAGGAACAACAACGCAAATGTGTTATATTTACATGTTTTTGATTACCAGCTAATAAAGAATGTTTTTTTATCATTATTCCCATTATTGTAATAATTAAATTTAAACAATTTCTATAGATAAAATCTATTGAATCCTATCTCTTTAATATGAAGGAAGATTTCCAAAAAAATTATTTCTAATCACTAATAAATGATTCATTGTTCTCATTATGTTATATTTTAGGATTTGACTAAGTCTAAAAGCGATTAACAGTACACTACTGTCACAAGAATTTTACTGCTCATTTCATTGTTTCTTACGGTGGCCTGCTTGAATATCTGGGCTGCCTATTCTTTCTATCATTTAAATATTTCAACATGTTATCTTTTTTATTTGTTTTAAAACACCAGTTATATCCATTAATCCTAAGGTCTACTCAGGCTCATATATAAACTTTTACGACCTACTCCTTTACAAGGTACAAAAATGTATGGTCAGAGACATAGATAGTTGGCAATCTGCATTGAAAAGAATGAGCGCTGATCAGATGTTGATCACTGAACTGCTAACTCCCAACTGTCGATTATTCATTAACATGGCGAACTATCTTTAGTTTCTACTAAGTCTAATCATATATCGTAATTGTGGTATAATCACAATTTAAGAATCCTGGTTGAATGATTTACACAACAATTGTTTAGTATAACTACATGGTTTCAATACTTATCACTAGAATAGATCAAGCATTAAGAAAAATTGTGGCGGAAATGTAGCTACATCTGTATGAACTGGTTTTCATCTAGTTCTGCATAACTGCATCAGTTGTTTAACTTCATAAGATGCTGTCCAAAACACATGAACAAATAAAGCTATGCTTATGTTACCAACATTTACGTGACTCTTCACTTTACTCCATCTGCGCTATCTGTTTTCATTGACGAGTTCACCTAAATGACGGTTGCTACCTTCAATCCTTCGCTTTGAAGTTTGCGTGGTGATTTTAATCCGTGTGATTATAGCTTTCTTTCATCACTGGGTCACCAAAATGTAGTCGATATCCTTACACGTTTGGATGTGTATTTAGACTGTTCACATTAATGATATGGGAATATATGTGGCTCATGAACCTACTTCATCACTTAATTCTGATTATTGTATTATTCGTATTCTAGCCAAAGTATATGGCAAGCTCGAGAAGAGTACGCTCTCAGATCAGACAAAGAAAGGTGAATGCAAGAATTACTCAAAATATTTAAGATCTGGTGTTAGAAGAAAGAATGTACGAGAAGAACTTTACTGAAGTTCGAAAGCTAAATGATCTAATAAACCTAGAGATCAGACGTCTGAACTTAATGTTTACTCAGAAACTCCTATCTTATAAAACTCTTCAAGTACGTGGCAACTATTTAAAGAACTTACAGGTGACAGGTACATTAGAAGTGATAACTGGCTGAATGTTTGTGACTTAAATACTTCTTTTGTAATTCAGACATCTGACGTTATGCTCCCTATATCCACAGGTTTGAAGAATAGTTGTGCTCAAATTTTCACAGAAACGGATGCCCGAAAACATCAGTCACTTAACTCGTCCAAATGTGTAAGACCTGATTAAATCCCAAACCTCATTTTTAAAGAAGTATGCTGACGTTCTGTGTTATCGATTCACGAGCATCTTTGACAGATCCTTCTCAACTAAGCTCAGACCGAAAATGTGGAGAAAGATAAAGATAATCCCAATACCTGAGAAAGTATCTGTCGATAAGAATGTGAAATTTAAACACATAGTAATAAATTCACCTTTTCTCAGAACAATGGAAAAACTATTGCTACTCCCGATTCAACCTGCAATAAAAGAGTACATTTATCAGTACCAGTTTGCTTACAAATGCAAAACAGCACCCTAAATGCTGTTGTCCTAGATCATAATATACTGTTCAGCTTTGAAGTGGATAAAAAGTATGTCAGATGCGCATTTCTAGGGTACTATTCTGCGTTTGACTCTATTCTGAAACCACTACTACTAGATGAGTTTGCAAACGTCAACGCCAACAGCTGGATAACCGACTAACTGCGTTCTTACCCCTATGAAATATAAAAGTATACGGTTCTTGAAGGAAAGTGTTCGATTTCTCTACTGTTTTATGATGCGTCACAAGGGGCTGTTCTTTCCCCTCTTCTTTTCATATTTTGTTAGGTTTGAAGCTATCACGAGTTCACTTAATCTGTGAGCGGGAACTTGACTCGGTGACCAAGGCCAGTAAGCTAGCTATTGATGAGTCCCAGCCCTGCTATCTAGAGGGAGAAGTCCAAGTTTAGAATGGGAAGTATACTCTGCAAACGACCAGAAAACGAGCGATTCCAAGAAAAATAATTTAAAACGTATATATACAAATATATATAATCGATATTGTAATATAAATTTGTAAACATTCATCATTAAGTTCGTCAATCAACTGTCATTCAAATATTTAAACATTTAATCGATAAGATAAAATTACAAAATATGAGTTCTGGGGGATCTATCGTACCCAACATATTTTTTTTCTGCATGATCTGCTGTCCTATACAAGAAACCCTTTCTTTGAGTATGCACATTGATTTCTGCCTCTTCACATCCACTTGAATTGAATGAGTTCTTGTTGTCCACTGAATAATGGTCTGTTGTTAATGGTCTCTCACTTCACCTTTCTAAATGTCAAACTGTTAATTTTAGCCTAAGCCATAAACAGCACTTAAACTCTCTTTTGAAATCGCATAAAGTTTGTACTGTTAGAGATTCTGTACTATAAACAGTGCCAAAGGTCATTTATCTTGGCATGACGTTTTCCTCTGATCTCTCTTGGTCTTCTCATGTATAAACAGGTTATATGCTTTTGGCATTGCTCAAGACTTACTTTTACGTTTTGTAAATTTATACATGTTATCTATTATTTCTTACTGTTCCTTATTATTCTTTCTCGGGTTTTAAAAAAAATATTTCGCTGTGTTGCGGAGTGCCAAAGGAAATTATTAGGGTATGTAGTGAGTCATTTAAAGTCATTATGAATATGGTTATGGACGAACATATAAAATCTTCCAAACTTCTGGCAGGTATTATCTTATCAGATATAAACCATTCACCTCACTCACATCTTTACCCTTGTATATTTTGTATATCCATATACCAAAGCAAATGTATTAAAGATCTACAATACCGTATCTAGCATATATACTACGCGACGAACAGGCTGTAATAGCTGACCTAACCAAAAACTTGTATCCTTAAAAATGTTGCTAATTAAGTTATTTAAACTCTCATTTTATTAAAAAGAACATTACATTTAATTCCAGATAGTTTATTCAGCGATTTTATGTATATATGTATGCAGTTGTCGGTTTGTTTTCCCTTGTAAAAGAAACGTGTTGAAATACTTTTGCCTAAGAATTTCATATGGTACCAAACATATATTATTGAATAAAGACATTAATTACATTACATTTCAGTATCTTTTCTTTTCCTTTTGTCATCTATTTTGTTCAGTAAAACAAAACAGCTTAGAGCTTCTTCCTTATATTCCTGTCAATTTCTTCTAATCTACGAATATAATAAAACGATCATGTATTACATTTATTTAGTAAACATTTCGATACACTAATTATTCGCTTTATTATCACTTTTTCTAAATAATTGAAGATGATGTGTGGTAGCTACTTTAATGATACAATTAATAACAAGTTCAAATTGTCCAAGCTAAATTATACATTCAGGTAACACATTTGTAATTTTAATCAGTTTATTAAAAACTAAATTATACTTGCCATATGTTTTCAGAATAGTGGTTACAAATAAGTTTGACATGAGTATTACCCACTACTGAACATCTCCTCAGTAGTTATGATGTAAGCAAGAAAACTAACATGAACTGATAAAAAATAATATATATTCTTCTGACAACAATTAATCATTATTATCATAACTTCACACAGGGATATTCAGTAACAAGTACTGTTTCATCCCATTGTTAGTACGATTTGTGTTCGTCTAATCAGATTTAAATATAAACCATTCCTATACTGAAGCTCAATCTGGCATGTTAGTGAGAAGACTGAGAGCGGATGGTAAGCTGTAATATGCAACTGATTCACAGTACTCACTACTATATATATATATTGACAGAGTGAATTATTGGCCGAACAAGTTTGTACCAAAGGTGACGAGAAATTAGTGAAACATTTGACGAAATTTAAAAAGGCTGTTACATAATATAATCCTTAGCATTAGTAAACGTTAACTTACGACCGAAAGTTAGATAAGTATTGAATGCAATATTATTTGGATATATTAGCATGGGTAGCATGATTCACAGATTATAACAAGTATCTGAAAGCCTGAAAAATTTTTATTCATGACTACTGGCATCACAAATTTTTCATTCACTTTGATTAGAAAATGAATTTGGAAATTGTTGAATTCTATAGTTTTAACAAATCATGTCTGGCAGATAATTAGAACAGATTTATTACCAGACATACTAGATATAACCCATTGAACGAATGAAAAATGAGTTTGGACGCTCTAGATACTGGATTTGAGGATTGATGGATTTTTTCAAATGATTAACACTATACATAAGAAAAAATTTCGTCTAGTTATCGTCGTTTTAGATTCAAACACATGAGTACATATCCCTCAATGTGGTTTATTTACTGTAGTGCTTAATATTTCAGTTTGTAATATATTTTTCGTTTGTTTTAACATATATCTCAAATCTCCAATTACCATAACCGCAGTTTTAGTAATGTAGTTATGTTCTTCCGAGTGTCAGTTGAGGTGACTAGAAATATTAAGTTTACAATATTTGCATTTGATCTGTTCCAATAAATAAAATCAATATCTTTTTATTACTTTCATGCATGAAAGACTATGATAGTCTATCACTTGACCTATTAATGACAATATATTTCATTCCGATATATCTCTTCACCAGTGTTAATGATCTTCTGAAACATAGTCAAGAATTCTCCGACGTATACCAATGTTCAGTCGATTCCAAAATGAATCACGCAAAAAAATGTATTCTTTGAATGAATTTAGAAGTTATGTGCTTTAAAATATTGGTTTAAATGTGTCTTCAATTTCGTAACCATATTGATGGTAATGTATTTGTTTATCTTGTTCAATAATAAACAATCAATTGATTTTGGCGATAGCGTGAATGGACTCATTTTAATCCAGTTGAAGAAATATTTCATTTTTTTTAATACTGTTTCTACAATACTCAAATATTTTATAAATTAAATAAATCATTTTGAAGTTGAAACTCTAGGTCATTATTTTTGTGATGGGCTTTGAAGAAACAATATTGCAAGAAATAGATGTATCAACAGGACTTCTACTTTGAAGAATTGATATTTAACAGAAATATAACATCTTGAATACTCTCATTACCAACTTAGAATTAAAATTGTAAAAATTATTAGTTAAATATTAGTATTTTATAAAACATTAGTTTAGATATCCCAGCTAAGAGTATTCAGAATGAAAATTTTAATTTGAGAGTTGAATGAGTTCGACAGATTATTAGTTTTTGATGTTATACAAACAGGTCTGAGTGAAAATCTCAGTTAGAGAAGTCATTCCTTGTAAATGAATAATTACTGATTTAATTGTGATAATTAGGAGTATTTGAATTATAGTATAAACTAAGAATCCCAGATATAACGCAATCCGATCAAGAACTATTAGATAAGTACTAACGAATGTACTGTATTTAGAATTCGAAATCAAGCATTCCACAAGTACAAAGGAATCATTAGTTTATCCAAACACCACATTAATGTACACTTCAAACTGTTTAGGATTTACTTGGCGGCCTGCTTGAATATCTGGGCTACCTGTTTCTGCCATCTAGTTATTTCAACTGTATAATTCGTGTTCTACCTAAAGTATATGGAAAGCATGGGAAGAGTACACTCTTAAATCAAAGCAAGAAAGTCAAATATAGGAATTACTCAGAAGTAAATATCCGAAACCTGAAAGACATGTTTCATACGACCAACTGGGAATTATTTACAGATGACTCACTAGAAATCACTTCTGATGTTATCACTTGTTACCTTAAATTCTGTTTTGATATTTGTTGTCCCACTGAAACTATTTTTGTAAGTTTTGATCGACTTACATCTTCACAACTAAAACGACTACGGAGGGTGAAAGAAAGAATGTGCAAAAAGAAAAACTCTAGTGAAGTTCGTAAGCTAAATGGTCTGATAAACCTCGAGATTAGTCGTCTCAACACTATGTTTGCTCAAAAACTCTTGTCTTGTAAAAACTCTTCAAGTATGTGGAAACTCTTAAAAGAACTTACAGGTGACAGACAGATTAAAACCGATAACCAGCTGGATGTTTGTGACCTAAATAAGTCTTTTTTACTTCAATCATCTGATGTGATGCTCCCTTTATTCACGGGTTTAAAAAAATAGCTGTGTTCCTAGTTTCACCGAAACTGATGTCCAAAAATGTCTCCAGTCACTAAATTCATCCCGATGTTTGGGACCTGATGGTATCCCAAACCTCCTTTTCAAAATGTGTGCTGACGTCCTATACTATCCATTCACCACTATCTTTAATAGATCCTTCTCTTCTAATCTCATACCGAAAATGTGGAGAAAGATGAAGATAATCCCTATACCCAAGAAAGCATCTAGTGATAAGAATGTGAAATTCAGACCCATTGCAATAACTTCACCCTTCCTCAAAGCAATGGAAAAATTATTGACACTCACTTCAGCCTGCGATAAAAGAGCACATTGACCAGTATTAGTTTGCTTACAGATGCAAAAGAAGCACCCTAGATGCTGTTGCTGTTCTGCATCATAATATAGTGTTCAACCTAGAAAAGGGTAAGAAGTATGTTCGATGCGCTTTCCTGGACTATACTTCTGCTTTTGATTCTATATCAAGGCAACGTTTACTTAACAAGTTAATCAGCGTCAACACTGACAGCTGGATAACCAACTGGCTATGTTCCTACCTCTCTGGTAGGGAACAGTATACGGTGTTTGGAGGAAAGTGTTCCGAGTCTCTAGTGTCTTATGAAGGTGTGTAGCGTGGTGTCGAGTTGAGCTTGACTATGAACACCGCTACAAGACTACGTGCCAATTAACCAATAAGATCCCGAAAGGCCAAAATATCAGAAGGCAGATGATTGTAGTAGTCGTATATATTTGTTGGCGATCTCGTGGTATCGAAAGAATACCGAGATCGTGCCAAAGGAGTACAAGCGTGGTTACTGAGCGTAACCGGATTCGTACAAGTTCGAAGTCAACGGGAGAGTAAGTATAATGGCTGTTATTAGCACAGTTAAACAAACGAGCACAATAAAACAATCACTGGTACAATTGGTTATAATAATAATTGTTTTCATCGAACCAATCGCGTTCTGTTGACAAAAGTAGGTCACTACAGGAGCTCCCCGCTAGAAAGGGTTTACACTTTCGATAGTTAGCGGTTTGATTCGTGGGACTGATCGGCAGAAGTGCGGTTGTAGGACGGAGGAAATTGGCGGAACAGGAAGTGATCATTGATCTTCGAGTTGCCAACGAAAGTCTTTTGCGCAGAACGGTACCAGGAGAAGTGTGTTGTATTTGTTGGTTGAGTTAGCATAACACACCAGAGTGGTTTGTATCCAGAATCTGATGATTGCGTTCGTAGGGATGTGAACCAGAAAACGCTGCAGACGTAGGACGAAACCACGTTGAGCCAAGAAACCGGACGCGACCATAACGACCAAGCGTATGCCAGGCGAATTCAAGACCAGATAATCGACTGAGTGCGTTGACTAGAGCGTGGGTGGCCAAACCAGCTTTCGCCAAAGTTGACTGAAGTCGACGTTATCAAATGGACGATGGTCGGAGGCGTGGGCTCAGGATACAAAAAAAAATCAAAAAAAGAAAAGTGTAGCATGCGTGTAGTATAGGAATAATCCTACACCGTATGTTATTGACTGTGCGTTTAGTCGCGAAAGCGTACGGGTAATCGTACCCGGCGACCGGAACGTGAGACGGTGGTCTCGTTCGTGCTTCGTGAGCCTGCGATCTCATCCGGGGTCAAGGGCGGCGTGGTCTGCCGATCTGGACGTGAGACGGAAGTCTCGTCCGTAGATGGTGCAGATGACGCGTGCTGTTGACCGGGACGTGAGAACGAGGTCTCTGATGTATCTAGCGTGGGATCCGAGGTAGATGTAGAGATCCCGCTAGAAGGTTTGGTAGGTCTAGCATTGAGTCTCAAGTTATTGGGTAGGGCACTGTCATCGACGTGTGCTGGTTTGAGACGATCAATGCTGACGATCTCGACGCGGCCGTGTCGATCAACCTTGAAGGTCTTTTCGTGACGAGAGATCACGTGAAAAGGGCCTTCGTAAGGCTGTTGTAGAGGTTTGCGTACCGAATCTACTCGTATGAAAACATGTGAACAGGTAGATAACTCTCGAGGGAGAGCGACCTGTCGATGTTGTATTCGAGTTGACACCGGAGACAGCGTTCGCATAAATGCAGACAGTCGATGGACGTAGTCTGATTTACCGAAATCATTACTGCTCCGTGGTGTGAAGAATTCCCCAGGCAGACGCAATGTCGTGCCGTATACAAGTTCAGCGGCGGAACATTGGATATCTGCCTTCAAACTCGTTCTGATGCCTAAGAGAACGAGCGGTAAGGTTTCGTACCAATTGTCGTTTTCGTGTGCTCGGAGAGCACTTTTAAGTTGGCGATGAAACCTTTCGACTAAACCATTTGATGCTGGATGGTAGGCGGTGGTGCGTATGCGTTCCGTACCAAGCAGCCGGGTCAGTGAGGAGAATAATGCGGACTCAAATTGTTGTCCTCGGTCAGTCGTGACAGTCGAAGGACAACCGTACAATGCTATCCATCGTTCTACGAAGCGGTGAGCAACTGTCTCCGCCGTGATAGACGTGATGGGAATAGCTTCGGGCCATCTTGTAAAACGGTCAATGCACGTGAGTATGTGATCATACCCATGCGATGGTGGCAATGGTCCTACAATGTCTATATGAACGTGATCAAAGCGAGCATCAGGCGTAGCGAACGTGCCAATGGGGGCAGCTACGTGCCTGTGCACTTTTGATCGTTGACACTGTAAGCATTGCTTTACCCACATACGAACATCTTTATTCATGGACGGCCAGACGTATCGTGCAGCGATGAGACGTAATGTGGCTGCGATACCTGGATGAGACAATCCATGAAGGGCATCGAAGACGAGACGGCGATAGGCAGAGGGTACGATGGGTCGAGGAAGACCGGTAGAAATATCACATAGGATAGTACCTGAGCTAGTAGCTAGGGGTACTTCCTGACACTGAAGGGACGAAGATTGTGGTGCTTCTGTACAGACAGGATCGTTTGCTTGCGCGGCGGCCATAGCAGGAAGATCGAGCACCGGTAAGTAACTGCATTCGTCTGGATACGTGAAAGAGCATCGGCAACATAGTTCGACTCGCCTTTAATGTGACGAAGGTCTGTCGTGAACTGGGAGATATAGTCCAAATGTCTGCACTCTCGTGGTGAGTAGCGGTCAGACTTGGTATGCAGGGCATACGTTAAGGGCTTATGGTCGGTGAATAAATGAATTGACGTCCTTCTACTGCGTGCCGGAAATGTTTGATGGCGCAGTAGGCTGCAAGCAGCTCGCGACCAAAAGCGCTATATCTCGTCTCCGTGGGAGTAAGGCGTCGTGAGAAAAATTCAAGCGGTTGCCAACTACCGGAGATATTCTGTTGCATAACGGCTCCTATAGCGAAATCTGATGCATCAACCGCTATACTAAGCGTGGCTGATGGGTCAGGATGAGCGAGAAGTGTAACTTCAGCGAGAGCCGTTTTGATCTCTGAGAATGCAGTACGTGCGGTATCGTTCAATTCTAATTTGCGTGGATTACCGCGTAGTAAATCGGTTAATGGTCGTAACCGTTCTGCCGCGTGAGGGATAAAACGTCGGTAGAAGTTAACCAAACCGAGAAAAGCCTTCAGTTCCTTGATTGAGGACGGCACGTTGTACTCCTTGATTGCTCGAATTTTGTCCTCGCAAGGCAGAATACCCTCTTGTTTGATGATGTGACCCAGAAATATTATTTCTGATTTACCCAATTCGCATTTCTCTGGGTTGACTACTATTCCATTATCCGAAAGACGTTGGAATAATAGCGTAAGGTGTTGATAATGTTCATCTACGTTTGATGATGCGATCAGCAGGTCATCAATATAGACGTGAACAAAATCCAAGTCTCGTACTATGCTATCGA